AGTTACAGGAACCTCATACTCTTTTCTATGATTCTACTAATTTATTTCTTCACCTTTGGTTTTTATCATTGCTGAATTTTGTGATTGATTATATTATTGATAAGCAAGTAGAATTCTGGCAATATGCATCCATGAAAGGTATCGAAGACTGCCCAAGTTTTGTCTACAAGATTCTAAGGGAAGATTTGTAATGAAACTCCCCATGTTATATCCTTTAAAGACATTGCATGTAAAGCCCAGGCTTTATGGATATAGTAGACATAGTTGAAGTGTCTTGATCTGCTTATTCTGTTAAAAGAGACTACTTAAACCTGCATAATTTCTAATTAATATAAAGTCAAAATCCCATTTCTGGAATTTGGGATATCTAAGTTCAAATTATCATCTAACAGTGAAGGGTAGGGTGTGAATGAGGGAAGGAGAGAGACAAGGTGGTTAAGGGTAAGAAAAAAAGCTAGCCAGTCTCTCCTTCTACAAGACTAATTCTATCTTAAAAGCCTTACACCTTAATATTGTTTTAATAGCAATTGTATTTTAACATGAGCTGGGAACATACAAGCGTTGAAACCACAAAGTACAAGGTGAGGTTGAGAATGAAGACAGGAAAAATGCCATCATTATTGAAGAGCAAGGGAATGGAATTGTTTGGTATATAGATCAGTCTACTGTGTGGAGCTTAGAGTGGATAAGAGGCGTCTTTGGAGTCCTGACACAGCCTAATGAATGTGAGCAAATGGACGTGCTCTGATTTCTCATCTGAGTAACAGGGAAACTTGCTCAGAAATGACACAGGGAGAGAACACAGTGCTTGGCATCAGGCCAAATATTAATGTCTACTCCTGGATTAAGTCATCCTTATAATCAAACAGGAATTTCTGCCCCACAGTTCCCAGAAGGAGAGTCTCTTCTGGTTGAGATCCCAACCTTTATGTTAGCAGAGCAGGAGGGTAGCAGTCAGAGCTGCCTTCCTAGAGCATAGTATTGGTCTTAGGTTCTATTACAAGCTGAAGAAGAAAACAATTCTCAGTCTAGTCTTCTTCACACAAGGGCTGTGCTGTCAACCTATCAGTCAAAGTTTGTGGAACTCTTGAGGGTGGGCTCTGTGGCAAACTGACTGAGTCCTCCTCTGTTGCTATCTTTCTTCCCCTTTAATAGTTCTTTCAGAATCCTCCTCTCCTAGAACCATATAGTCCTTCATTGTTCTCCATAAAGGATGTAGCAGAAGCCACCCCCTACACACACACATACACACACACACACACATACACACATACACACACACTGCTGTCAAGTAGATCCTCTCGATCTCTAAATCTGAATCAAATTATTTCTTATCTACAATTTGATGCCAGTACTAGGCTAGCCCATCAAACTGAGACTACTAACAGTAGCCTTCCTCAAGAGGGAAGCCATGTTTTGACTACTTCTGTGTAGATATATATGTCCCTGAACATATAGGTATATAATATATATTATATATATTCTGTATACACACCCTTTCTCTCTCTCTCTCTCTCTCTCTCTCTCTCAGAGAATCCTACATATATAGGTATAGAATCAAGAATGTTGATTGGTTGTCTGAATGACTACAGCCACAGGCAACAGACAGAGCCACCATCTCTGTGGCTCAATCTTTTGGGAGAAGAGCTGCAAAACAACAAGTGTCACTGGCCACATGGGAATAACTCATTCTGTTTACAAGGCACCTCCTGTAATAATAGCACTAATTAAGAAGAGATTGTATTATTTTAGTGAAGCTCCCAAAGCTATACAGACAGAATAGACTGGTGTGTATTCCAAGTGTATTCTCATTCATTTTTTATCTGATCACTTCACCTTCTTGCAATACAACTACCACTAAGATGTCAACAGCATAAGCCTTTCTGTAACAGCCAAAATGGATATCACAAAGGGAAGTCAGCATAAAAAGAACAGATAGTCTTTGCTTTAAGAACATACTTTAGATATGATCCACAGGCTTGAATTTCTGTCTCAAGGCTAAGTAACACTTGAAAGGTGTGTGTGTGTCTGCACGTGCATGTGTGTGTATGTGCTAGAGGAAGCATATTTAGTAAACAAATGAATCTTCCTGAACATTGAGAACTAAAATTTTTATAGATTTATAGTGTTTTATAGATTTTTTTCTTTGTCCCCATGGTTGAAATGAGAATCAAAAAGTGACATCTACAAAATGAGCTTCAGATGCCTAAAAATTCACTTACAAGGATTACCTTATTGTGTAACTGAAGTGTACATATATGTAGGGAAATGTACCCTAATACACAGGGAGAAGCCATCCCAGCACCCTCTCTTGGGGAGTAGCCTTAAGAGGGGAGTGGTGTACTGAGTTACATATCCTCAAATGTTGTGACAAAAGTCCACTCTATGTGTAGTCTTGGAATGCATTCAAACTTTGGATCAATTACTCATTCCTTTGTAGCTTTGGGTTCAAACTGTCAGTCTTCCCAGGCACATGTTGCCATAGCAGACTCTGTTTGTTGAGGGTGGAGTGGTTGGCACATTAAGGAAGTGGCAATTAACTCTAATAGGTATATAGTATGTTAAACCCTTGAGTCTTTTCCAAAAGTTCTCTGTATTTCTACCCCCATTTTAGAAATTCCTTCCTCTCCCCATTACCCTTTAGGAGTAAAAAAATCAAACAGCTTTTAGAAACCATTTGGGGATCATTGCAAGAGAAGCCCAGTAAGGCCTAGAGAAGGTCACCTAGACTGTGACTGCTTCATCATGGATTCTGTTACGTTTTTTGAGATGAGTCACCATTCATGGTAAAGATGTTACAAAGAACAATTACCCAGGATTCTTTCCTAAAACCACTCCAATGTGTAGACTAGAGCTGGGGAGATGGTTCTGTTTGTAATCTTACAAGCATACGCAAGTGAGTTTGATCCCAGAATCCATATTAAAAACTAATAAGCAACAACAACAAAAAACAACCTGGGGTTTTTTTCCTTCAGTGATGGACTGTGACAACCTGGGTTTTGTGTACACATTTCTAATCTTAGTGCTAGGGAGGCAGAAACAGACAGAGCTCTAAGGTTCTCTGGCCTAGTCTACGTGGTGATGTTTAGACCTCATTTCAAAACAACAAATACACAAATGGAATCTGTGGAATGACACCTAGAGTTGTTCTCTCACCTCTACAAACACACACACACACACACACACACACACGTACAAACACTCTGGCACATGCACAAATACACATATATGCATATGAAAAGTATAAGCTGTTTTTTTTAAAAAAGAGAGATATCCTCAGACTTACCATTCCCTCCACTCTGAAGAGCACCCTAAAACGTGTAAGAGAAGTGGGGATATTTGTGGGTGTTTATCATTATAACAATCTTATAGACAGTAAGAAAAGGAGCTGACCAAGTTTGACCAATGAATTAGTCAAGGTTGGAAGAAGAGTAACAGATCTTAGCGTTAGGTGAGAAAGTTATTCTTTAAGCACGCGAAAAAGGAAGAGGAGGTCCCCCAAGCCTGATCATATAGTGATCTCAAACTTTCTGGGGCCAAATTCACTGACTCTAATGTGAAAGACAAATGTTTATCTCTGAATCTTTGTTTTTTTTTTTTTTGTCTCCCAAGAGGACCGGGTTGCAAACAGAATTCACGTCCCTTCCTGCTCTCAGCTGACATTGCTGTACAGCTGTGTGGCAGCTGTTGAGGTCTATCCTGCAAGTAGCATCTTTTCAGTGGTTGTCAAATGGGTATACATCTGGGATGAGATGTTCAAATGATCTCAGGACCCCATAGAATAAATGAAAACACTGAAGTAATGCCTTGGACGAGCTTGTTCTGATGTAACTCAATTGCTGAACATTATTTCATGGCCATTACTGAACTGAATGATCTATTTTGTCAAAGCATGGTGGACTATGGAATAGTCTTCATAGTTGAACATGTAAGGCGGGTAGGAGAGGGTAAGAGTGATCTTTATGTGTGTCAGATAGCCCAAGATCCGTAATTCAAAGAACTTGACCATGAGATGTTTCCTAAGGGTTTACATTTGGGCATGAGATAGAAAGCATAAGCCAGGGTTACAGTGCAGGTAGGCTGGCTGACAGACCTTCTTGGATGCTGTGTGTTCTGTTTCATTCAAGGAGAAACCCAATGGAGAAGAGATGCATTGGTTGGCTGAAGTGTTTTTTAACTGCTCGTTAATATTCTTATCACACATTCCCTTTTGGGGTGAAACAGTCCATTAAGTCTGGTTCCGTCTGGGCCCATTTCCCATTCTGGTTCCTGTTAACTGACAGCAGTAACAGGAGTATATGGAAACCGTTCAGCTCTCTCTGCTCCAAATTCTGCATCTAACTGTTGTGCATCAGGTAGCTAGCTATAAATGTGGGAATGTTTTTTATGCCAACCTTGGTATCCTTAACCTAGGGCCACTTTCATCTTGGACAGACAACATATATGTTTTCATAGAAGCTGAGGACTTCTAAGGTCTCTAAGTGTCAGGCTTTGGAGAAGGGCCTAAAGATGAAGAGAAGTAACATAAAGGCAAGATACATGACAAATGATGTCTAGCTCTGCCTGACCCTGGCTATGTGATCCGGGACATTCTTATCATCTATTTACTTTCCTGTTTTCTCACTGATAAAGCCAGCATTGCTCAAAAGACAGGCTTTTTCTAATAATTAACATAATTAAAATGTAGAAGTAGAATTCACATACTATAAAGATTTGTTATTACAAGAAAGCTAACATAACTGATCAAAAAGTTTAATGATAGAAACAGACTTTAGACTAGGCCAGAAGCAGATGCTAGACAGGAAATTAGCCAGTGCCTTGGGCAAAAAGCTGTTTTCTCAAGGCTTTTCAACTTCTTGAAAATGCGCTCTGTCTTTTGGGTGTTTATCCATGGTCTCTTGGGTATTTTGTAAATTGGGTTGGGGTAGGTTAGAGATGAATTGGGGGAAGGGAAATGGAGGCTTGGAGCTACACAGGATGCTGACTCCATCTCTTCACAGCCTTTCCAAGCAGATGGTTGGTGTGACACTATCAATAACCGGGCCTATTGCCACTATGATGGGGGAGACTGCTGCTCTTCCACACTATCTTCCAAGAAGGTAAGTGAGATCACCCGGAATGGGTGGAAAGGCTGTGTGAGTGCAGACGTTGCGGGGCAGGCCTCTGGTTAGCTCTCCTTCCATGGTACAGTCATTAAGACAGAACTATAATGAGTAGCTGGAGTTTGTGAAGTGATTGGGAGATTAGGTAATTAGGAGAAGAGGTGGTGAACACATCCAACTAAATTACCTATACAGTGACCCATTAGGACAGGAATGGCTTTTGTTACTGAGAGTCTGCTGCCTGCTTGTCATTGCTCAGACCAAAGAATGTCTTCCTTTCCTTGGAGGTTCTAGATTACCAGTGAAAAGCTTCCCGGTTATTACTTATCTTTCATCTATTGTAAGTACATCATAGGAATGTGTTAGATTGCTAACTGGACCACTCTGGACCAGATCTGCAGCAACCCTTTGTCTGATACCCTTTGTCCCTGTTATTCTTGGTGCTGTTAAATTAGTAGATAAGCTCCTTACATCAGTAAACTGGAGTGAACTGAAATTTTGCAATGTTATAAGTAAAAATACAAGTGCTTTGGGGATTTTTGAAGCTAGTTTTTAAATTCAATACTTTGGACATAGGCTGATGTATTTCCTTCCCTATGATAAAGCCATAATCAACTATATACAGACTAGAGTACCATACACAATTTCAACCCTCTGTGATCACTTACTATGTGCCAGGTACTATGTTAAGCATTTCACATGAATGAGGTGACAATATGAAGTACTTAAGGACTCAACACATCACCAACAATTTGGGCCTCTCTTTCTCTGATAACTAATCAAACTTAAGCTAAGAGAAACAGATCATGAACTTTGACCATAAGTCAGAAATCAAGCCAGTTGTTTTCTGTTCTTGTGAAGTCTATCTATCTGTATACAGGAAGGTATGATCACCTAGGAAGAAGTCATGTAACTCTCTCTCCATTTCATACTCTATAAACCTGGGATTTGTCTATGAATTTTAGTGCCTCTGAGATTATGAAGGTACATCATTTCACATCTCTATTGACTACTACATCATCTTTTATTACATATGTGTACACAATCTTATTCCTTCTCCAGTCTAGTTGTACAACCACTAAACCCATCCTCTCAGTGTATCTTGCACTAATATACAACATCTGTGTTTATCTCATTTAATCATGAATACCCAAAAGGTAGACTATTTACCATTTTCAAATCTCAGCAGTTCCCATTGTTTTTGATCCTACTTACAGACATTCAAAAGGAATCACTTACCTGTTGGTAACAGCACAAGCAGGAAAAAAACCCAACTTTTTCTGTGCCATGTCTGGAATGGGAGAGGGATAATTACACAGAAGTGAAATAACAGTCACACACAGTGTGTAGGGACATGCAATGTCTCACTACCCCAAAGTATATCTTAGGCTCAAGAAAGGCAAAAATCCATGCCACTGCCCCAGGTGCACAAAGTCAGAAACATTTAGCGATGCTAGGCTTCAGTGTGACCATCTTTGCTCTGAATTAAGTCATTTGTAGTATTCCTTATAAGAATTGTTAACATTTATCTTTTTGTCTACCAGGATTGCAACAGCAACAGAAACAATCACACTAGACACTGTCAGTAATATTAGGAGTTATTCCAACAATAGTTATAGGTAAACAGCAAAGTATAAATGCGTTATACCATCCATTTGACTCAAGAACATAGATGCTCTCTGGAGAGTGAAACTGATGTCATCTCACCTTATAGATGAAGAAAGAGAAGCAATGAAGTATTGCCATGCCTAAAATGACATGGGATAACATAAGAGGACCCAGTGTAAATTAAAAGTCTATGACGCGAATCCCCAATTTCATTCTTCTCGTAGGACCAAATGAGGAAAATTAATGCCAGTTGAAAAGTGTGAATCTTGGCACAATAAAAAGAGAATGATTTCAACTTCCTGTTCATTCCCCTAGGTCATTCCATTTGCTGCTGACTGTGACCTGGATGAATGCACCTGTCGAGATCCTAAGGCAGAAGAAAATCAGTCACTTTAGGACCAGAGCCCATCCTGCTCTGCCCCTGGAGGCAGACTAAGAGAGAGGCTCCCATGGCAGGACATGAAGGGTGAATGAACAATACAGGTTCCATGGTGGAACAAAGAGCCTTTAGGAAATGCAAGAGAATGTTTGTAGGTGCCAATTAATGCATTACATAGTCGAGGTAGGGAGGAATTATAGGCAAAAGTTTCTGTAAAAAAGCAAAAATAAAAACAATTGATTAGAAGTGGAAGGAGAAATGTGACAGACGGGACCCTCTTTCCCATTTGTACTCTACTCTTTTCTCAACTCTCACTCTTTCCCACTCTGCACATTTTCAGTGGCTCAACCCCACCCAATGTGTAAAACAATATCAAAATATTAGAAGATAAAATGCCAGGGACACTCTGTTAATCCCCACTCCAGATGGGCTGTCATCTTTCAGGGCTCATCTATTCTAAACTGGCCCTTTGCCTTCCTTTTGTGTAGTCTCTCTTAAATAATGAAGTTAGCTATGTCTTTATAAGTATTTAAACATAATTATATAAATATATTATATATTTTGCTGTTTACTAAGCTAAAAATTATCCATCATTCCACACATGCTGCTGTGAAGTTCATGTCCAGATGGATACTGAAGCTTCGAGAACAGAAAGAAAGGTTCTTTTGCTCTCCTTCTATTGACAGGGATTGGCAGGTTGGATAGGTATAGGAGAGAGTAGATGCAATCCTGGGTCCTGGCTTGTCAGCTAATCATCATTTTATGACCTGGGAGCTGAACCTACTAAAAGGAGAGAGATTTTGCATGCTAACACCAAGAGGCATGGAAAGTTACAAATGGGAACCGGTTTGGCAGGTCTAGTAGAGCCAGACAATGGTTTCTAAGTATCCATCAAAAGGAATATACAAATTCCCCACTTCTCAGAACTCTCAGAGCTGGTGAAGTCCAGGGTCTTTTCCACTTCTCTAGGTGCCTAGTCCAAGTGTAGCTGCCAGCCAGCCAGTCAAAAAATTTGTATTAGGGCTCATTCTCTGAACACCAGGCTCACAGGAACTTACACCCTCTTCATACTTGGCCAGTTGGTGTCTGTCCTTGTTGGAAGTTCCAAAGTCTGGCTATCATTCATAGCCACATCACCAACTGTGGATTTTATGAGAAAAGAAAAGACTTTGGACATCCAATAGGAGAAAGGTAAAAAGAGATAAAAGAATGGAGAGGGATGGAGGAGCCAAAGGCTGTCAGAGAGGAAAGAGGTCAAGATTGAATCAGGTTTGAGGGTTAGAGGATGGAATGAGTGAATAAGTCCTTGTTCCAAGTGTCCAAAGAAGGCCAGAGTGATCTCAGAGCAATGAGATAAATCCAATTCAAGTAGCAATGCATAGAGTTTGTGACCCAGTAAGCGAGCTTAGGAAACATGGAGCGAGGGTGACACTCTGTGGGGATAAAGAAGAATTTCAACTATTTGGGGTCCATTATGTTTGTATTTGCCATTTCTTGTTCAATAGCTATATATGGACTACACACAAAACCATCACAGTGACTCTTCTGTTTCCATCCATCTTAGGCTCACATTTTCCCATGGGGTCTGTTCTAGGTGTTTTTTTTTTATTACAATAGTTCCTGGTTCAGACATAAAAAGAGAGTAAGCAGTTTCTCCTGTCTAACATTGGTCTTGTCCTCTTGTGGAGGCTCTGAGCTCTGTCTGATCTAAATTTTTCTTCAGTGGAAACTGAGACCAGGCAAAACCTGTAGCCACCTCTGGTATCTCCACATTCTCTCCTTTGTTCTCCTTATTTTTCATTATCAATGAGGGAACTAACCCATAAAAGGAGAAAAGAAACATTACTTACCATCATCAACATATTACCCCGACTACACACGTGAAGAGCACTATTCTGTAATGACCGTGGATATGGAAAGGTACACATACTTACCCATGTGTCAGTGTAATGCGGACAACAATGTCATTGAGAAAGGGAAGACCAGAGTTTGTCCATCCAAAATTCCTCTGTTGCCTCAATTCCTAGCTATAAGGTAAACAGTTGCTTAAGTGCTCTTCACTTCCTGTCACATGTAGTGCCCTCAGTCAGGAGAGACAACTCACATATATTTGTGGATCCTGGTAAGTTTAAAATAGAAAAAAGCAGCAGAAAAGTTTAGATTCTCTACTATTACTAACACACACACACACACACACATACACACACACACACACTAAAATTGTTTTCTTGGAGAAACATCCAAATTTTAGGATGGCTTGAGCAATCTTGACAGAGGAGACAGAGATGGAGATGAGCAATAGTTATCCTGGGCAATGCTATGGCCCCGTGGGTATGAGTACACAATGCTCACCAATGTGTGTCCATACTCAGCCTCTTTGTCAAGTTCATTAACAGGAACAGGGAGGACATTTCCATCCCATATATCATTTTAAGATACTTTGTTCTTTCTTGGCAACTTTCACCCTGCCCTGGGAAGGCAAGAGGACAGTTTCTGGGGTGTGTGAAAATTTCCTCAGCCTGAAGGCCACTTAGCCATAATCAGCTAGAGATAGTGGCAATGGTCATGTCTAGACTTTGTCCCCAGGCCCCAGTGTTTGGAGCAACTCAAGTCCCTAATAAAGAAAATGATCATAGATCCTAGGGACAGCTTGCTCTTGTCCCCATGTGATTGTCTGCATTTCATTTCTCTTACACATCCATAATGCCATCCAGGGCCCTTCACAGAGGCTCGTCTGTCTCTTTGTTCCAGAGTCACTTCTCTGTTTCTTCCTGTTCTTAGTAACTAAGTTCTGAGGTCCACATGACCCAAGGTTGGCTAACTTCGATGATTAGCATGACAGCCTTCAATTACAGACACAGGAAAGAGGTTATCAAGGACGATGTACAGATCCTGGCAAAGAAAGCAGTGAGTGAAGAGTCTCCTTCTCTTTCCAGCATTACAAGGCGTTGGTCTTGACACTCATCTATTCTGTGTGATCGATCACTAGTGTGTCACTTAGCACCCAAGGGGATAGTTTGATTGAAACACAGTGAAAGGAGCTGATCTACTGTATTGTAATGTAAAACAGCTACAGCCAGTTATTTTATAAGATTATAAATTGTTCATTAAAAAAACAGCACACAAAACATGAAGTGTGTTTGGTGTCTGGTTCTTTGTTTAAATGATTTACTTATTTCTGAGTCACTTTTCATTGGCCTGTTCCAGATTCACATTTCCCTTATTGGCTGATCATATCCTTCAGTCACTTGAAAACTATTTGTCACATAAATAGGTTACGAAAGAGAGATAAACACAGAAGCCCACAAGAGGAGATGGCATTTGCAAAGGTAGAGTGTGTGACAGTAATGCCAAGTGCCTTGTGAGCTGTGAAACATTGTTCAAGAATCATTTACATTTCAGAAGCAATAAGCATCACCTCTGGATACTAACAGGAGGTGGCCTTTGAAGGATGGCTTGGTAAAGGTCGCATGTGATTTGATAGGCAGTAGCAGAGGAGTTAGTAGAGAACAGAGGTGAAGATGTGGACACAGTGATGGGAAGTACTGTCCATTATTGGACATCAGTGAGGCACCCAGCTTAGCTGAGAGTTAGAACTAAATTAATATGTACCATGCCTTTTATAAACACAATCTTATTTAATTCTCATGGGGGAAAGTCTGAAAAAAATCACATATTCACACTTCACAGATGAGAACACAAGCCGCCAGCCTGGAGAAGAAAATTCTCCCTGATCACAGGACTAAACCAACTTCAAGCCTGGTTTAGGGGATATTGAGGTGTAAGAAGGAAATAAATAGTGATAATAAGAAAGGAGGAGGTGATAAAGTGTCAGAGGTGTGACCTCCACCACCTGTGACACTATTATCTCTGAGAGAAAAGGACAGTTAGGAGAGCAAGTTTTGGAACAAGAATTTTAATTTGCTTTTTTTATGAACTTTGTTTGATGGCAAACAGATAATGAGTTATAAATTTCCACATAAAGATTGTGTTTAGCAACCTGTAGGAGGGACCAACAGGCTAAGTTCTTTGTTCATGCCAGGCACAGCTGGGAAGGCCAGATGGATAGCTCATTCCACCTACCAGACACTTGGGAAGACATGAGGAAAAGATAGCTGGAAACATAAACTTGGGTTGTAGGAAAGAGGTTTGTGGTTAGAAATAAGAATTGCACAATAAAAGGAATCATTACCTGGCATTTTCTGCCACAACTTGCAAAGTGCCTTTGTGTGATTTTTAGCTAACCATTGGTGAGGGAAAAGATCACTTTTGTTTTTGCTATTTCACAAGTGTGTGTATGCAAACATGCACATGTATTCATGTATGTGAGTGCACATGTATACATTGATATACATGTATGTGTATGCATGTGGAGGCCAGAGGACAGCCTTGGATATTGTTCATCAAGTACTATCAACTGTTTTCTTCTGAGACAGGGTCTCTCAGTAACCTGGAACTTGCCAGTGGGCTGGGCTTTCTGTTCAGTGAGTCCCAGGGATCCATTTTTCTCCATGCCCCCAGTGCTGGGATTACAAATATGCACCATCATTCCTGGATGACAGATCTCAGGCCCGGTGCTTGAAATAAAAGCATTTAATAGACAACTCTCTTCCTAGCCCCTGAATCACATTTAATTTTAGGTCACTTTATTTGTCTTCATATTTTACTTGAGAGAGAGAGAGACAGAGAGAGAGCAAGGGAGACAGAGAGAGAAAAGGAAGAGCACAGAGTTGGGCGGGTAGGGAAGAGGGGAACATTTGAAAGGGGTTAAAGGAGGGGAAAGAATGCGATCACAATATATTGTGAGAAAAAAACTTTAAAGAATATCACTGATTCCCACTCCCTGCTTTCAAAGAGTCATGTACTCATAATGATCTGTGCCAATAACTTCCTGTATATTTCTTTGTATGTTTTACCTGCATAACAACAAGCTTGATTTAGAGAGGAGATATTTATCCTCAAGTCTGTCAAGTTTACATTTTCCCATGAGAATCTAGTCCTCACTGATGATCATTGTATGTTTTGTATTTTCTGATCTTGCTACTCCATCTTTAGGTAATATTGCTAAATGTTAATAGGAACTGGTGTGACAATGGTGGAGTGCATTTTTGAAAAAAAAGTCTTTCATTCTAATCTGTGTTAGGTTTCCAACGAATATTTTAAAAACTTCTAAGCTCTGCAAGATAGTTCTGGGGAACTGCAATTTGCTAATGTTTTTCCAATCAAATTTTCTTCTAAGGATAATCTAATATAGTTGAACTTCCTTTTCTTTGTCCTTGTCCACATAAAAGCCATGCATTTGAATACAAATGAAAACAAATAAAGAGTGTTGACATTGTAATCACTACCTACCATGTATCAGTGTGCCTTTTCTCTCTACCAGATATCCTGTTATCCATATGAAATTGCCTATAAACATACAAGTAACATATTTAAATCTCATAGAAACACCAATAAAAACGAGAAATGCCCTGATATTGAAATGTATACATAGATGGGTGTTTTCTAAAGAACAAGCAAGCCGTACTGTTAGGACACAATGATGTCAAAGCACTGACTCTGTTGGTGATCTATCAGTAGCCATGCAAAACACCCAAGTGGTCTTTGCCAGGAAACACTGCTTACATCTTCTCCACTTTAACTGGGATTCTGTCCTTGAGAAGCTGGGGACAAGAATGATTTATATGTCCTGCAAGTATGGAAAGTCTGGCAAACACTAATTTGAATTCTGGCTCCAACACTCACAGATAAACATCTAGTTACCGACTCTTTCTGAGTATCAGTTTGCTAAATGCCCAATACTTTCAGTGCCAGGCAGGCAGGGATTAAGGAGCATGTGTTGGAGAAGAAGAGTGTAGTCAACTGTCTCAGAATTTGGAATATACAGAATCTCAGGAGACTGGCCGGTGTGGATTCTAAAGACCTTCAAATCCTCAAGCACCCTGTGAGTCTGACACAGGAGGTTTGCAGGGATCTGTGGCATCATTAGTTATATTCTTAGGAGAGTGAGAGCATATCGTGACTCCTGAGTAGTTGGGCTAGGAGATGTTCTAACCCATTGATCCAGGAAGAAGAAAATTGGATTTGTAGGGTAATCATGGTAAAGCTTAGCACTGAGAAGAAGAAAACAGTCTAAGGGGAAAATTTTAGGAGTTGGGAAACTATATTTGTAAATGCAAATGGAATCCAATTAGAAAATTGTATTAATTATGTAAAATGCTGATAATTTTTTTCAAAACGCAAGTGATTGAATCATGTGAAATGTCTATTTTATATAATAACCCTGTCCAACGTAGACTTTTACAATGTTCTATATTTGAGTTATTCAGTGCATTAGCCACCACACACATTTTGCTATCTAGTGTGCTAAATATGACTAATAAGACAGAAGAAATGTATCTCGTACATTAATTTATGCCAATCATTTAAATGTGAACAGCCAAGTATGTACCTAGAAGAGACCTTGCTGGAATATACAGTTGCAGAATGTTACACATATCATTCCTTTTGCCTTTTAAATACATTCCTTGTGTAATGTTTTGTTTTGTTTTTGTTTTTTTGACAGTACTTCTCTTGGTTACAGCTCCTATGGCTATGATGAAACATCATGATAAAGCAGGTTGGAGACTGAGGGCTTATTTGGCTTGCATTTCCTCATCATAGTCCATTACTGAAGTCAGGACAGAAACTCAAGCAGGATTGGAATCTGGAGGCAGGAGCTGATGCAGAGACCATGGAGGGATGTGCTTACTGGATTGTTTCTCATGGCCTCCTCAGCCTGCTTTCTTATATAATCCAGGACCACCAGCCCAGGGATAGCACCACCCACCATGAGTTGCTCCATCCCCAATCAATATCACTAATTAAGGAAATACCTTATAGGCTTGTCTATAATCTGATCTTATTGAGGCATTTTCTTAATTAAGGTTCCCTCCTCTCAGATGACTTTAGCATGTGCCAAGTTGACATACAACTATTCAGAACAGTCCTAGAGAGTGAACCCAACACTTCATACCTGTCAGGAAAGTATTCTGTCACTGAGTTACATACAAGCCCTGGGCATGAGGTTTTAACTCATACTACTTACACCTCATGACTGATGTAAGATATATTGAGAGTGAGTTATGCTCTTGGAAAAATGTAATGTATCAACAACTACAATAAGCCTCCACTGATAAACTAAAAAACAAAAACCAGTCTCATGCTCAGCTATCCTTTCCATAACACCATTATACATTTTTTATTAGATAAGGAGACAGAAATCATGAAAACACGTAACCACACAAATCATGAAAACACGTAACATAAATAAGACAAGATAACTACTCAGAGAGGTACAAGAAGACCAAGGTTGCCCAACTAGTAATTGGCAGATCCATAATTGGACCCAGTAGTCTGTTTCTACCATCTGTATACTAACAAACCCTGCTATACTAGAACATCTCACTACTTTAGAAATGACAAAGATAAAACAGTGTTCAGTTTTGTGGGTTCTCACATTGGAAAGCAACCTCAAAAATCCTACTCTTCACTATAGCATTCCCTTCAGAAAGTTTGTCCCACCTCATTCTGAGTCAGTCAAGTATTATGGAGCTCATTGTCTTCCATTGCTGTGTATTTCATATTATAGCCTTCTCTGACTTAAAGGAGTCAGTGCATATAACATTGCTAAGAATATCATTGTTGTATTCAGTGTGTGTCTTAGTTAGGGTTTCTATCACTGTGAAGAGACACAATGACCACAGCAATTCTTATAAAAGAAAACAGTTAATTCTGGTGGCTCACTTACAGTTTAGAGGTTCAATCCATTATCATCATGGTGGAATATGGCAGCATTCAGGAAGACCTGGTGCTGAAGAGGCAGCTGAGAGGCAACAGGAAATGAACTAAGATAAAGGGTGTGGCTTCAGCATATATGAGACCTCAAAGTCAGCTTCCACAGTAACATACTTCCTCCCACAAAACCATACCTACTCCAGCAAGGCCACATCTCCTAGTAGCGCTAATCCCTTTGTGAGACATTTTCATTCAAACCACTATAATCTACTCCCTGACCCCCAAAAACTTGTAGTCATATTGTAATACAAAAATGCATTCCATGCAACTTCAAAAGTCCCTGTAGTCTATAAC